CACTTTGCCTTCCTACCTGAAGAGCAAGCCTCTTAGACTCTTGTCTCTGCTTCTTTCTACATAATGCTATTGTTCTCTCAAATTAGCTTTTAGAACCCCTTGGCTAGGTCTGTGACCACTGGCTGGCTACTCAGGCTCATGGCCTCCCAGTTTTACTCCCTACACAGAGAACTCTTCCAGATGTAATGTGAAAAATCCCAGGATAAGAATCTGATTGGCTCAGCTTGAGTCACATGACCACCTATTAGCTAATCGCTGTTTTCTGAAAGGCAAACCATTCATTCCATGTGACAGGGAAGGACTGCTTCCTCTAAAGGGATTGAGTCCAGACACAGGCACTGGCACATTCTGTAAGCTGGATAACCACTCCCATTTTGTGTACTGGCCAGCACCCACGTTTGTCACTGACCCATCTCTTGATACTATAGGACTTTTGGATCTTTGATTGAGGAAATACATAATGATAGATAGCTGCTAAAAAGTCTTGAATGAAAGGGTATTTTATTAATCACATGAACGTGTCTGAAGGTGTGAGACATATGATACATTCCTTCGTAAGCAGTTCTGAACATAGTCTTACAAATGTAGAACTTGAATAAGAACTCACTGGTCCATTGTAGATCACTCCGAGGTCCCACCTGGTCAGTATGAGCCCTACTTCTCTACAGCCTAATAGCTGAAGGAGGAGTTGGTGGGCAAGGGTATAAAAAGTGCAGAGAAATGCCCAGAGGTTCGCCAAGTGGATGCTGGACAGGTTTACTGAAATGAGTTGATGCCATTTGTTCCCACTGGATTGAATGATTTCTCTATCACTCAGAAAGACTCAGTATGAGGGTCACCCATATAATAGTGTTTCTCTACCTTATATAGAACTGGGGATCACAGTGTCTCCTCTCTGTTCCTAGAAAGGCCTTATTTCTGCCACTTTTGACTGAGATAGCAGGGCTGGCCCCAGTTGAACCTCAGTCAGGCCTTGGTCAGTATGGCCCTGAGAAGTTCTCTTTCACTTGAGGACCTTGGTTTTCTCAGAGTCAAAATGAGGAGAGTGAATCCAGATACTGCTTTTCATATTTTTCCATGAGTGGCCCCTGTGGTGGGAAGTTGAATGGGAGAGGAACCATAGCACACTGAGAATATATTCTGAAGAGGGTGGAAGTCTCTCATCTTACATTTGATCTTCAGATGACAAAGAACCCTAACTCCAGTTTGTGAAGCCCAGAACTATAAACTGCTATATTCTAATCCCAACTCTTCTATACATTTCTCCTGAGAAAAGCCATGCCTTCAGTGTATTTCAACATGTGTTCTTTTCCCCAAGAGAATCAAAGTTGGTGTCTGAAGAAGCAACAAATGTGGTTTCTACAAGCAGCTGATATAGATTCCTTCAGCTTCTTTCAGATGTTCTCTGTTCCCTTTTTTTCCCTGTCTTAGTTTACATGGAGCTTTACCCTGTAAGCCACCTCAAGGCCTCTAGAAAGCAGATGAAAAATAAATCTTAAACAACAGTCACAAATGCAGGTCTCTGATCTTTTATATGAAACCCTCAAGGCCAAATATATTTTAGAATTTAGCATTTGGGGGCTGACATGGTTTTACAGGGCCAATGATAGATCCATATAGAAAATTCTCTTTATCTCTTTCTCTTTCTCACTCTAATGAAAGAAAGAAGTAAGCTTTTTAAAAAAGAAAAGAAGTTAGTGTTTCTCAGGTTTGGGAATAGATCATACATTATGTAATACCTCCAGCAGGGCAGGGACAGCACTCCATGATCACACACGTTTCTGCAGTAAAATATGAGAATATTCACTCTAAATAGCCTCATATCAGTTCATTTCAGGGTCAGCTGCCAAATTATCTCAAGTCAGGGCAGGCTAGGCCACCAAATAAGTTACAAAAAAAAAAAAAAAAAACTTTTGATTTTTAGACCAATGTAGGTTTTACAATTTGGAATAGTTGACTTGTGAACCTGTTCAACTGATGCAAAGGAAACTCCCAGAGCTGGGCACAATTTGAGGTGTGCTGAGGTAGCTGAAGTCTAAGGGGTGTGAGCTCAGGTAGGACTCCAAGCCAGCCAGCCTCACTGACCCTCATTTCTTCATCCATGAAATGGGAATGATATCCACATCATAGGATCATCGTGCCGTTGCCAAAGATTATGAAAGTGGATTGATCGGAGGACCAGCAGTTAACATAATGGCTATGTCGCTGGACTCCCATGTAGTTGACCGCCGTTTGAGTCTCGGACCCAGTGGCTTAAAACTCACGCCGGGCGTGTGTGCGTGCGTGTCCAAGATCCTGAGAGGAGAATGGAGGAGAAGGGATTGCAGCGTGGCCATCTCCCCCCCCCCCAGGGGGGGGTGGGGGTGTGTGTTTTCTCTCTTTTTATCTCTCTGACTCTGTCTGTCGGGTGAGCACACGCTCCCTATAGCAAAAACCTCTCAAAAAAAAAAAAAAGTGGATTGATCAAGTTGCAATGAAGTCCAAAGGCTGTAGATGGTTGTTTATAAATCATTTTCACCAGTTAAATCATTGTTCAACCAGGAAAAGGGTCCACTGAGCTCTTCATATTGCCATTCTAGAAGTATCTTTTGCCTTCAAGACTAATAATTCTGATATTCAGAGGGCACTGGAATGCAACCTGGGTTAAGTTCTGATGTGTGTTTCCTGTGAAGGAGGCGTTACATGTCTGTTGTCATCAATCAGTACTGGAAAAACTGGACACTCTTGACATCTTGCCACGTGTCCAGAGAAGACATTTTTAGCTCTGCATTTATATTTGCTTGGACTAAGTAAATGCAGAGGAAGCACAGATGTGTTCAGCTGCTGACAGTTATGGTATTACAACACAAATAGTTTACATTTAATGTTCTGAAAAGTCCCAAATCTGTGACTTGCTGTTACTTTCATGTAAATATGCGAGTTACAGCTAGATTTCCAGTCTGTGCCCCCAAATCCCAGGAGACTCTGGCTCCACACTGTGTATACGAAGGAGTTCTACACAGCCTAGAGGCCACCAGTGCTCTCGCAGGCTTCGAAGACAGACACAGCCTCCCTTCGTGCAGGACAGCCTTGGTTCACGGATCAGCTCTTCCTGCCTCGGTGCTGATGTGGGTGATTGACTCTCCACTAGCAGTTGGGAAAGAGCAGCCACCAGGAACACCAGTCAGCATCAAGGGACCCTTGGATTTTCCTGCCTCTCAGTGTAGACTATGTAAAATGAAGAAAAGCAGGCAACTCTTCCCCACTTCCCACCCTACCCCTAGCCCCAGCTGAGGGACACTAGTCACATACCCCAGGGGGAACAGGAACAGCATTTTCCTTCTAAGAGGAATCTACATTCTGGAAAAGGTGCCATGACTGGCAGTGAGGCCTCCCCTTCACATCCTGACAAACACAAGACGCCTCCCACCTGTCTGGTGAGCAGACACCCCCCCCCCAACCCCTGAAGCTCCAGAAACACACATTCTGGGCCCTCCTCGACCCTGATCACTGGAGCCACACCTGGAATCTGCTGTCCTTGGACCTTGTAGTGATTCTGAGATGGCATTTCAAGGCTGCTCACTCTTTCATCTTCCTGCCCAGTCCTCTTGACACCCTCTGGGTAGGGAAAAAGAATAGGTATAACTCACCCCTTGAGAGAGGGGGGCACTGGAGCCCAGAAAGGAGAAGAGTCTGCCAGAGCCATCAGGCCAGAGTGCAAGGTATGGAGCAAGACGCTGCTGTGGATCTTGGTTTCCGAATAGAGATTCTGTCACCTGGCAGAGTGCTTTAAAATTGAGACTTTAAGAGATTCTGTCACCTGGCAGAGTGCTTTAAACCTGAGACTTTCCCCAGCCACAATGTCCTTTTCCCTCCTTGAATATGAGAGTGATCCAACACTGCATTTACAGACCACTTTGGGCATGTCTAAGGTATCCTTGGCTTCCTGTACTATCCACTTGGGGCAGTGAGGAGCCTGCTGTGCCTTCAGGGGGTGCTGGGAAGTGGCTCCGTGTTGATCCCACAGCAGAGCTTGGACTAGCCTACCTGGCTCCATCCCTACCAGGATGCTCAGGGAGCTCCCAAGACTCACAGGTGAGGGTTCCAGGATGGCACAGCACATCTAGAAAGATGTGGCCCTTGTCAGGGA